GTGATATGGAGTGCATGATGGTTATTTAGGCCGCATTCATAGTTCCGACTCCGCGAGATTTTATGTACGTCACAATGAAAACATACGTATAACGGAAGATAGATAGTATTAGACTAGATAGTGCAGAGTGGGAATCAGCACTGACAAATTTATACTATCGATGAAGATACTGGAAGTAGTAGATGGCGATATGGGCGATAGTATGGATAGTCGTAGAGTAGAATTCGACAGTAAATAGATTTGTGCGGCTGACAAGATTAAGATAGTATTGATCTATTCGCTTGAAGTTGAATCATTAAATCATCCTGACGCCCGACCTTTGGTGGTTGTATACACATACCAAGGATCGCTAGCTCTGCATCCCACCGCGCGTATGAGACAGTGAGCTTAAACGGGCAACTTATGAGACGGCCAGCTAACGCGTTTCACGAAGTAACTTACAATTCAGCAGCGTAACCTAATGCTTCGGCAGCATCGCTGGCTTCACTACTCATTTTCGCACCATTCGCAGTCTGAAACTGTACTAAATACAGCCGTGCTCCACGAAGCGAACTACCATTTACTGACAGAGGGCGCCACACAAGCACACACATAACATAGGCACTATTAGCGCATTGTGTAAGTACGACAAATGCTAACCGACAGTCTAAAATTCGATAGGAAGCTTATGAGGCATCCTTTGTCTTGTAATTATATCTAAAGCAACCGCCACGATTCCACCCCTGTAAAAACTCCAGGACTACACAAGAACTCAGGAGGAGACCTAAGAAAGTTTCTAGAAAGCATGTCATATAGACTACTCGAGATGATAGTGTCTCATACTGCACTGCAATGACTGCAAATAATGAGGAAAGTTTTTGCTGGAGCAAAAAAGTCAAACTTTGGGATATTCATATGTTTCCCGACGGCGTTTAATTACTTTTGTCCTTCAACTTCTGGAAGTTCATAAAACTGCATCGAGATCCTCTACTGTAGGTATCTTTGTACGCCAACTAGAACGACAAGCCAATTTCCGTTAGGTTTCCGGCAGCTCAAAAATTCAAAAGTTGAGGAATGTCGTATAGCTCTGCAACGATAGCACTGATTCGAATTGAAACTAGAAATAATTCTTCTCTTGTACAAACGGAAATGCACACATACGCACACACTAATAATGATACCAGAGAAAAAAAGTATTGCACCAATTTCACGAAAGTAAATCAAGAAAAATATTAAAAATCCTCCACATGAATTATCAGTCCAATAATGTACCTTTAGGATAGCTAGCGTCCTATTGATGCGATCCAACAGTTGGGCATGTTCATCACGTTGTTCATCATCCAGATCGCTACTGTCAAGTTGAGAAATACTCTGCTGAAGTCTTTGAAGCGATTCTTCGTCCTTTTTCAAATCATCAGGTGTTCTATCGTCACTTTCTGGGCTAGTGATCATCAACAGTTGATCTTCAGCATCTTTGCGTGCAACATTGAATGCAGCTAACGCAGCAAGCTTATCTCCAACTGAATCACCAAGCCTTTTCAGTAGATCTTTCAGTCTCGACAGATCCCATGCGCTCCTCTGTCGCAGCTCTTCCGTCGCTTCGCCAACAGGGATCGTTTGTATGAGATTTTCAAGACGTTGCTTCTTTGTCTCGAGTTCCTCAAGCACTGATTGCTGATCGTTGAGATTGTGTGGTATCTCTTCAGGTTGTTGCTGTAGACTTTCGGAAATGAGAAGAATCTCAGGCGCAACTGACTTCAACTGCGCAATCTGTTCGATATCCTTCTTCTTCTCATCACATTCCTT